ACTATAAGGGATTAGAGCATACTAAACTTTACACATTACATAGGTTACACTAATGTGATGTTTAGGCAGTTTGTTTAATTATTATACGTGATGTATGTTTTTTGGGGGGAGGTTAGTGAAAGTGTTCCAAAATGCGATATCTCTAGACTTAGTTATATATTCCTGTAGTGTAGAGGCCTATTATAATATATTCTACATCACTCCTACAGCAGACTTAATCATCTTTTCAAGTATTATTTACACCCAATATTATTTATGTTGTTCAGTTATAACCACAGTGCAGTTTGTTATATTAAGTCGTCAAGAAATTAATGTCATGCTCACTGACATAACAGTAGCACAAAGTGTGTTTACCTACCTCCCCATTTGATCTAAAGTAGACTAGCTGTATGGTGCATGATGAGGTGTGTCAGGAACTTCTTTTTTAGTAGTATATATAGTAATGTAAATATTTGGGTGTGTTAGACAAATGATTCTTCTACAGGAAGTGTGTGTGACTTGTTGGTGACAAATTTGATAAACGACCAGCACGCACTCCACTTATTTTTAAAATAATATATGTACTTGAAAAAAGTTAAATGTATGTGAAAAATTCTCTCCACTATAGAGATCAAAGTTGAATCTTAAACACTATACAGTTCTTTCCTTCTTGTCAAAAGTCCACTTAGGCCAATTCAATTGCTTTAGAATTCAGTTGACAAGCCTAACTATTTTCTCTACTTTTATTGCAATAATATCTGTGTATAATTCACTTACATTGTCGTGTGAGTTACTGCTGTTGTATCCTGAACTTCCAATAATCGTCTGTTTTCGTACTTCCAATAACCGTCTGCCCTTTGTACTTCCAATAATCATCTGCCTTTTGTCAAAGTCCACATAGGCAGGTTCAATTAGTTTAGAATACCTTTTGATGAGACAAATTATTCTCCTTGTCTCTTTAAAACTGTTAATCTCATTCTAACATATCGACCGTTAGGCCATTCACTTCCACGACTGTTAAGTTTATGTTTTTAACTTTTCTCTGACTGAATTTCTCTTTCACATGACTTTTCTTTTACTTTGTTTTTTCACATCTGGTCACAGCTTTTTTTACGTCTATCACTTAGGCCTTCTAGAAATTTCCATAGCTTCAACATCAATTGATTGCAAACACAACATCTGATAGCCTCAACATCAATGAATTACAAGCACAAAATAAATAAATTAATAATACTACATACACTAAATAGTCTTTTATATCTGACAATAAGCCCCTCTTTGAGAGAAATATTTACAATATTTGTTTTTCACTATATTCAAAGACTGTTTTCAGCTCACTCACAAAGTTACTCATACAGTCTGCACCAACATTTGCAGTTCCTTTGTCGATCTCTTCAAATGTGAGGCCTCCAATAGGGCTTCACCTTGACAGGATCCCTTGTCTTCATCTTGATATTGTGCTTTCTGCTCTATCTGTATACTGGCTCTGTAGATCTTGTCCCTATTTTTTATTCTTGCCAGTCAGTTCTTCACTTATGTTGATGTTCTTGTACGTCTCATCTTCACCTTGGTCTTAGGTCTAGTAGGGCCTCATCTTCTAAGACAAAATCACTGTATTCTGGTTCTGCATCTATGATGGCCACACCTGCAACATTCATCTCTGTTTCAATAACTGCACCAATCAGGGCTTCTTCCCTCCCAAAATGCTTCTTTAATAGATTGGCATGGTAGATCTTGATCTTCTCATTCATATACATCTTGAACTCCATTCTGTTGAGTACTTCTTGTACTTCAAAAGGTCCTTTCCACTGCATGTGAGATTGTTGTGATCTGTGGGCAGCATAACTAAGACCTTTGGTCCAAGTTTGAAACATTGATCCTTGATCTTCTTGTCATAGAAATGCTC